CCTCAAACAACAACAAAATCATCAAATTACATCGAATTCAAGCCTAAGTTCTTCTAAAACTTCCGAAACACGCATTTCATCAAAAACCCAACCAAATCACCTCCGAATGACCTGAAATTTAACACACACATCCCAAATCACATAACGAAGCTACAACAACTCTCGGAATTCCATTCCGACCCTCGGATCAAAATCCCACCTATCAACCGGAATTTGCCAAAATACTAATTTCATCAATTCAAGCCTAATTCTACACCGGAACTCCCAAACCATATCCGATCACACTCCTAAGCCACAAATCACCCCCCGAAGCTAACCGAACCATCGAAATTCATATCCGAACCCTCTAACTCATAAGTCAACGTCCGGTTGACTTTTCCAACTTAAGCCTTCTTAGAAGAGACTAAGTGTCTCATTTCCTACAAAAACCACTCCAAACCAACTCGAACACATAAGACACGGATAATGAAGCATAAAGAAGCAGAAAATGGGGAAAACAGGGCGGTAACTCATGAGACGACGGGTCGGGTCGTCACACCTAATGAGAAGCTTTTATAATCACACAAATACTCTGGGCCCCTTTTTAACTTCTTTAGGACCATAAATTCCAAAAGTCTTCATTTTTTCTTAAACTCCGTGCCCAGTCAAACAGGTTCACATAAATTGGAACGAAGGAAGTAGTATGTATTTAACTGTATGCAAGCGAAATACTTTAATGTATTCAGCAGTATGTATCTAATTGTACACATTATATTCAATTTGTTTTCAGCTGTACTGACTTCTATAATCAGTTTCTTCAACATACAGTACCTGTATATATAAAGTTTCTTCAATGAAGTTTGTTTTTCTTGTTTTATTTCAACGTAGTGACGCTATGTATTCAATTTTATATATAGTATATTGACGCCATAATTACTACCTGAGAAAGAAGGGCAAGTACAACCAAACCACCACATTCAAATATACAACTGTTTATTGTATATTCAAGACAAGAATTGCTGAAATCTTTGACAGGCATGCTGATACATATAGTAATACAAGTGTAGCCAAGGAAGAAGATGTGGTATGTGAGTATATAAGGGGCTACAGATTGCTAGCTAATGTAGCATGGCATACGGTTGACAATGTCTTGATACTAGTCAACTTGAAGGACAACCTTCATTTGATATTGGCAGTTGTCTCATTCAAGGAGAGATGTATCAACGTATATAACTCATACCGATCAGCAGGTCATGATGCCTATGTGGGTTCTGAGATAAATAAGCTTGTACCTCTGTATCTATCGATAAGTGGTTTTATAGAGATAAGCAATGCATAGATTGGTCTCGTGAACCAGCATACAATGATTAGGCACACACTGATCCCTTTAATGTTGTTTTCATTTAAAATCTGCCTCAACAAAAGGCTGGGAGCATGTATGTATTCAATCCTCGTTCTTGTATCATTTATAACGCTAATAATATGAATTATATTTAATTGTCTCAATCAATATTTTCAGGAATTGTGGGTTGCATGTCGCGGCATATGCATAGTATCTAAGCACTTTTGGTTTGGTTCCACAAACAGCATTGGATGCTAATTTACTCCGTCAAAGATATGGCCCTCCTTTGGGGCTATGCTATGCGGAAGTTAGACGCCGATGACATAAGCGAGAATGAAGCACCCTCAAAGATTGTTAGGCACACGGAGTCGGATAATTCTGTGAAGATAGTTTTAGAATAGTTTTCTATGAAGATAGTTTTAGAATAGTTTTCTGTNGATTTATTTGATGATGGTTTCACTTAGATAGTTATGAAGATAGTTTTTTAGCATAGTTTCTGTGAAGATAGTTTTTGAAGCTTATTAAAGAATACATTATGGTTTTTGTCAACCTATTTTGTTTTTAGAACACATAACTTTTTGTCGATAAGATGTTGCTGAGGGAGTACATAACAACCTTAAGTTATGCTGTCTTCAGTTGATTCAATTTATCTAAAGCTTCAATGTGTTTATCCAGCCATATGTATTCAGCAGTATGTATTCAGTGTAGTTCAGTATGTATTTTATGTATTCAGATATATTTTTAATTAATATCAATTATGTTTTTCCCATATATGATCACCAGTAAATTTGTAATGCAAGTCATGTATTCACTCTATCCACTGTATTCACTAAAGTTATTATTTTATATGTTTTAAATTTATTCACTATATTTTCATTGTATTCAATGTATATATATGTATTCACTGTCTTTAGTATCTTCTACTTTTTCAATCTATTCACTGTATTTAACTATATGCAATGTAATTCTATAAATTCAAAGCTTCACTCTGTTCCACTATTTTTTCCAACAATATATCTTCGGCAGTATGTCTTAAATGAATTGTAGAATGTACTCATATTTTTTTTAATTAATATAATTTATGTATTCAGATGTTTATATGTATTTAACTATATATGCAGTATGTATTCAATGTATTGCACTATTGATGACCTGCTATACCTCATTTCTGTATATAAATCAATTTGTAAAGATATCACTAAAAAATAATTTTAGTGATCTGAAAATTAAAAAATTTAATGCACCAAAAAATCAATATATAATATAAAACTTGAAAAAATCTATGACATATCGTATTGCAGCAGTTGAAATCAGAACACGAACTAATTCCTACGTGGAGCATTTCTACAAGTACGCTTATTATGTCCTCCCTCACCACATATACTACACGAATGTTGATTTTTCTTCTATAACAATTCACTGAACGGCTTATGGCGATTCTTCTTTGGCCTTCCGGGAGGTCTTTTCCATTTAGGTGGTAAGACAGCTTCCTCTGATATATGTTCTAGTATATTCCATTCACTTCTGTCGGGCAGTGGATACACTGGAAACTCGTATGTCATTACAACAGACTTTGGTTTGTAATAGTTCGAGCAATAATCTTTCGGCATTAGAAACTTGCTTTTCAAGACAGCCCAAGCATGTGGGCATAGTAATTCGTCAACTTGGAACCGCCTACAGCTGCACTTTTTCTCTAGGAGGCAAACGGTGTAATGCCTTCCTTCATCGTTCACCATATGCAAGTGTTCAGTCGATAGTACAACGTACATTAAATAGAGAAATATAAGTTTTAGTCATTTCTAAAAAGTCATAGATATCTCAAAGAATATACGTATTAATTACAGAATACATGTATACAATAAAAAAAGTTTAAATATGCAACATGTCAACAAATATTAAACTTTTAGAAATCTAAATATAAAATGTATATATGAAATACAATGGCATACAGTGAAATACAATGAAATGTATGGAATACAGCGAATACAAACTATATTAAGAATGGCAGACTATTGAAGATGAACACATTTAACTGTGGAATACAGTGAGTGATATACATTAAAATACAGTCTATCTGCTAGAAAATTCATATAATTTGAAACAAAACTATTGAATACAAACAATGAAAATGCAAATGTATAAACAAGTATTGTATACATATAATAACCAGTTTTTAAACCTTTTTAATACAACAGAATCATGCACAAGTGCTATAATACAATGATCATGCAGTATATTAATAGTAAAAATTTATTAGAAATAAATACACGTTATACCAGTTCTAAATACATGATGCAAGGACTTAAAGCAACAAAAAAAAACTTACAGTCATACGTGTAGACATTGCCTCATTGAAAGTAAGCATCTCCTAGTATTTTTTCCCAAGCGTTGTGTAAGTGTGTGAAGCTTCTTTCCAATTGTTGCAATTCCAATGCCAAACATCTTCGTAACTTCTTCTAGGAAGTCATATATTGGCAATTCTCTTGCTGATACAAGTGCGGCATTGATTGATTCAGCAATATTTGACGTTATGGTCCATCCCCGGTTAACAAGTGCATACAACCTATCCCACTTTTCGAACCCAGCTAATTCCAAGTATTCTTTCACCCGAATATCTACTTTCTCCACCTTTTTCATTAGAATATCAAATTCACCCTGAGTGTATGCTTTTTCCATCAAGAAGTATATCTCATTCAACTTTGAATGACTCTTTTTGAATTTCTTATATACGTTGTTCCATAGATGCCATATACAAGCAAGATGGGTTACCGTAGGATACACTCTCGATACAGATTTGATGATGCTCTCATTCCTATCTGAAACGATGCACATGTTTTCCCTCTCACCATATGCTTCCTTGAATTGCTCAAAGAACCACGACCAAGCAGCATCGTTCTCTGAATCAACAACACCATATGCTAGTGGCAATATATGACATGTAAAATACAATTGCATACATATATAAAAATATCATTCAATATGTATTAGGCAGTAAAATTAACAATTTTTACTATAATCCATATTTTTTTTTAACAGACTCACCTACACCATCCAACGTGCTAGCCGAGAATGTCCTTGTGTATGCCGATTTTAGGTGGCTTCCATCCACAACCACGATGGGTCTATAGTGATTGAACCCCTTTATAAGAGCATACAACGATATATACAAATACATGAACTCATTTTTTGGTGATTTTACCATTCTAATATGCGAACCAGGATATGTCATATCCAGTGTATATAAGTACCCTGGTAATTTATTGTATGAATCAACTGGTTCACCTTTCAAAAAATTCATAACCTTTTCTTTAGCCCGCCACGCCAACATGTAACTAACATCTTGTCACGATCCGAATTTCCCACCATCGGGACCGTGATGGAGCCAACATCGCACTCGCTAGGCAAGACAGCGTTAGAGTCCTATTTACCTTTTTCCTGTACATTTTATAGTTTACAATAAATAAAACTAAATCAAATTGAAATGAATGCGGAAGCACATAATTTCTAGTTATCCATATGCTATTAACAAATACTGAAAACTGTTACCACCCAGAAACTGGTGTCACAACCCACGAATATTCTATGAATAACTACAAGTATGGGTTTGAAAGAAAAATACATCTTTCTCGAAAGAAGATAAAACAGAAATGAGGAAAACATAGGAGGGGACACCAGGGCCTGCGGATGCCTGCAGGACTACCTTGGGTCTCCTGGATGAATGCCTGCAACCGACCTGTCGATCAGCCACAACCAGCTCCAAAATCTGCATAGAAAGTGCAGAGTGCAGTATCATTACAACCAACCCCATGTACTGGTAAGTGCCGAGCCTAACCTCGACGAGGTAGTGACGAGGCTACGACGCGTCATATACAATATAACCTGCAATAGTATATAATAAAGCAAAAGGAAATACGGGACGAATTGGAACAGTAATTTGCAACAAAGTAACTATGGAACCCAAACATCTTGCCAGTACTCAGCTATAACCAACCCTTAAGAGAGTTACAATACTACAAGAATAAATCACAGCAGAAGAAGGATACGTCAACAACAAATGATGCGGCGTGCATCCTGATCCCACCATATAATCAGTAACAATATGAACATTCACCCTTATTACTCCTTGTTGCGGCGTGCAACCCGATCCCACCAGTCCACCCTTATTACTCCTCAGCATATCACCTTTATTGCCCGTGTTGCGGCGCGCAACCCGATCCCACCAGACAATCACATTTGACCCTTATTCCTCCTGTTGCGGCGTGCAACCCGATCCCACCATATTAGTACCAACACACAATAAGAACAAGTGTTTCATAGTTTAACTCAAACCCTCAAAAATACTTATGCCTCAAACAAAATCAAACAGAAATCTGTACAATTATGAAATCTCATCGATTATTACTACACAACGAGACCAACCAACATATATCATGAAACACCAATAAACCAACTTAAACCAATAATGTAATACAATGAAACTACAGAACAATTAACACCTTCAATAAAGAAAACAACATCTATCAAGAAGCAATTAGACATGGAAGCATCAACAAACATGTAGCAGTTAAGGCAGGAAAACAATATATTAGGAACGGGGAAAGGGACAGACTAAACAGATAATTTGGCGGCGCATAAGTACTCGTCACCTCACCTATACGCCACACACATGGATCTTCACGTAGTAATTAATTCAGGGATCCCTAATCCCCCAAGTCAAAGTTAGACACAACACTTGCTTCAATCCAACGACCAACTCATAGCTCAATTACCGCTTTTCCTCTAGATTCCACCTCCAGTTCACTCGTATCTAGTCATAATTAACTTAATAAAATCAATTATCGCTAAAGAAATCAATTACAATGCATAATTATGAGTTTCCTAATATTTTCCCCAAATAGTCAAAAACCGACCCCAGGCCTGCTTGGTCAAAACTCAAAGTTCGGATCGAAACCCGATTACCCATTCACCGCCGAGCCCGAATATTCAATTGGTTTTGGAATCCAACCTCAATTTGAGGTCCAAATCCCTAAATTTCGAAATTCCTATGTTTTACCAAAAAATACCCAATTCAACCATGAAACCCCTAGATTCTAGGATGAAATCTTGTAAAAAGATGAAATAGATCGCCTCTTGAGGTTAAGCTTTTGGAAAATGGGAGAATGAATGAGAAATCCCGTCCAAAATCATTTTTGAACAGTTGTAGATATAGCATTTGCGATCAGGGGTTCGCAAATGCGAACATCCCTTCGCAAATGCGAAGAATGTCCAGGACCTGCTACTACCGCAAATGCAAACAATCGTTCGCAAATGCGACCTGTTCCTATCGCAATTGCGAAGCTCACGCAATTGCGATCCTGAGCTTTGCAATTGCGAAGGTCCCCTCCCAGCCCTTCTGATTGCAAATGCGAAACTTCTTCGCAGATGCAATGCTCGCATTTGTGAGTCAGACTTCGCAAATGCAAAGTCTACGGACCTGAAGCATACTAACAATTTTTCTTAAGTCCAAATCACTCCGTAACCTATCCAAAACTCAGCCGAGCCCTCAAGGATCCAAACCAAACATGCACACAAGTCTTGCAACATCATACGAACTTGCTTGCGCGATTAAATCGCCAAATTAACACCTAGAACTACGAATTTAGCACCAAATTGCATGAAATTTCCAAGAAAGCTCAAAAGTTCTATTTTCTCAACCCAAGGTCCGAATCACGTCAAATCACTTCCGTTTCTCACCACATTTCACATACATGACTTAAATATTAAATTAAACATATACCGGGCTCTGCAACGAAAATACGGGCTTGATACCAACGAGATCAAACATTAATCAATTTCTCAAAACCATTAAAATTTCAGTCTTACAATTTTCATCAGAAATTCATTTCTCGGGCTAGGGACCTCGAAATTCGATTCCGGGCATAGGCCCAAGTCCCATATTTTACTACGGACCCACCGGGATCGTCAGAACACGGGTCCGGGTCCGTTAACCCAAAACGTTGATCGAAGTCAACAAAAATCAACTTTTTAGGCCAAAAATTATTATTTCTTCAATTTTTGACATAAAAGCTTTTCGAATACAAGCCCGGACTGCGCACGCAAATTGAGGAGGAATAAAATAAGGTTTTGAAGACCTCGGAATACGAAATCGAGTTTTAAACATAAGATGACCCTTTGGGTCATCACATTCTCCACCTCTAAAACAACCATTTGTCCTTGAACGGACATAGAAAGGTACCTGAGCTAGTGAAATGATGGGGATATCTGCTCCGCATTTCGGACTCGGACTCACAGGTAGCTGCCTTAACAGGATGACCTCTCCACTGCACACGAACTGAAGGATAACTCTTTGATCTCAACTGACGAACCTGTTGGTCTAGAATAGCTATCGGCTCCTCCTCATAGGTCAAATCATTGTCCAACTGGACAGTGCTGAAATCTAACACGTGGGATGGATAGTCGTGATACTTCCGAAGCATGGATACATGAAACACTGGATGTACCACTGATAAACCTGGGGGCAACGCAAGTCTTTAGGCCACCTCTCCCACTCGATTAAGGATCTCAAAAGGCCCTATGAACCTAGGGCTTAACTTGCCCTTCTTCCAAAACCGCATCACACCCTTCATGGATGACACCCGAAGCAACACTCTCTCTCCGATCATGAATGCCACATCACGAATCTTGCGCTCGGCATAACTCTTTTGCCTGGACTGAGCTATACGAAGTCTATCTTGAA